AAAGGAGATAAAATTAATACCATTTACAAAATAAATTGTATGAACTGCAACAAGCATTACATCGGCCAAAGTGGGCGTCCCCTTCGAATCAGAATCCAAGAACACAAATCAGCCGTGAAAAGACACGATATGTATTCTTTAGTATCAATGCATATAGACAATTATGGCCATCAATTTGATTGGGATAATGTCAAAATCTTAGACAGAGGAAACACCAAAAGTGCCAGGGAATTCCTAGAAGCCTGGTACTCAAACGAAAATGCAATTAACAAGCACGTTAATATAGACGAAATATACCAACTAATGAAAAGTAAATCAGGTGACCAGAAAGTTTAAAATCCAAGTCAATAGAAAATGGTCAATACATATGTAAAGATAGTTACCAGGAGACGCAATTATATCACTCATGAAGAAATTTAAATCATTTCACTTTGTGCCAAATATTGCGCTGAAGATGTTGTCCAGAAGGATGACGAAAGCTTCGCAACTAAACCAACCAGCTCAGAGAACACTATTAATTGCAAATCATCCACCTGAACTACAAATCTTCTCTATTATAAAGAATGTATATAATATGACTCCTATGAAAAGATTAGGAAGCCTGTAGAGATGGTTATAAATGAAATTCGACAATCTGTGACTGATTTAGTAGGCCGAACTAAGTCACCATTAAGGGAGTCTTCTTTCATTCCTTGCGTTCTGAGTAGAACACAGGGCTCTTAGCTATGAACTGTGAAATTTCGGTGGCAAAGGTAGCGTTTTTCTTTTACGGGTAGGGTTGCTAACTTCACATTAAGCTTACCTCTTTTCATGACTTCCTAACGGCTTAGAAAACTAGGGAGAGTCGGGGAATGCTTCAGCTTGGAATCGAAACTTATCCACACATGTGAATTGCGAGCATCCCTCCAGTGAACCATCGACTAACTCGGAATGAGTCTAAATACTTTAAATGAATGCTTGGAACTAATAATGCCAGTGGAATGTATGTTTATCCTAGTAGACCAATAGTTAATTTTATAAATACCCCTCAAAAATGAGTTGTCTCAATATTTACCGTTTGTATTATCTGCCAGCTCAAATGGTTCAAAATTCAGATTAATCAGTTTATTTAAAATGAAAAGGAAGTTATGCATTGGTCTGTGGTGGTCTGAAAGACAAGATATCGCATCTGACCACTTCTCTAGGCATATGTTAGTCAACTTGCTGCTGTGGAGCCAGATACATTGGTTGTACAACGCGTATGCTGTCTAAAAGGATTCAAGAACACAATCTCGCATAGTTGCAAAATGGTAGTAGTGGCTCAATCTGGAGTGTGATAAGTGAACACCTTATCTCAACAAATGCTTCTTTCAAAGTAATTTGCTAAGCGGAGAACAACCTATCAAAGACAATACGCTTTCATCTTTCTCCATACTGCTGAAGATCTGACCACTCAGATAAACAAACCGAAGCTCTGCATACAAAAGGAAATTGTTGAGTCACTCCTACTGTTTTGGCAACAACCTTGTTTTTATTTTCTGCTAGCTTGATTTTTAACAGTTTGAAAAAATTTGGGCATTGGATATATGATAGTGACTATAATAAAGGTTTTCTGTATTTCCCAATGAATGAAAAAACAAAGCTATATTGTTTTTACTGACGTTTCGCCATCTAATGCTAATAGCTTTATTGAAGCCTTGTTAAACGAGAATTTACAAAATCTCAGCTTATATACAACAACTTAATCATCGTTCCTCAGTATGGGGTCATTTTGAGTTGTCAGGTTGACCAGTTGGTAAAGATAACAAAACCAGGTGTAGATTACTGTTGGATTTCATAAGTGTGTAAAATTGTAAAAGCAGCGTGTGTTTACATAATGAAATTGCTTATCACATTCGTGTTGATTTTGTCATTTCATGGGTGATGGCGGTGGTGTGGTGTTGTAACCAGGTCAAATTCTGTTTTCGTCCATCATTCCTATTCAGACAATTTGGATTCCATTTGATATGAAGTGCTTCTGATATTAGACGTTCTTTGTGATTTCTTAAATTTTTCTGGATTATTTCAATATTGTCGGAGGTCGAACAGATATTCTACGGTGTTCATTTCTTCTGATTTTGATTTCTGGCGATGTTTGTCCGATGTATATCGCATCACATTCCAAGCATTTTATTTTATAGACACAATTAGATAGAGAATCTTTAGGGATCTGGTCTTTTATATGGACAAGGTTGCTTCGCAGTGTGTCTGATGTTCTGAAGAAACAATATCGTTTTGTTTTTCATTCATTGGGAAATACAAAAACCTTTATTATAATGAATAGATTGATTTTTGTTTATTTTTTCCAACTCCTTTGCATAACTTTTGCATTATTTTCTAACTCTTATGTCATGTCACATTGTCCTTGGTTTTTATATGCATCCTGGTAACAGTCCATTTACTTAATTACCTCACTGTATAATTTCAACTTGATTATTCAACTTCTTATGTATATATTGACTAATAAATTAATAATTATGATTATGACAACTTATCACTTTTGCCCCTATCCCCTTTCCCAGAAAAAATTGTGTATAAATGCTATTATAGTACAGCTATAGAAAACAAATTCACCGAAATGTAACTCTTCACTGAACTTTCAAGTGTTGGTTTGTAGGGATTTGATTGGTTACAGGATTTTCATCATGAGCTGACATTAGTTAGAGAACCATTGGAAAACCAACTGGTAGTACTGGACAGCTGTTTCGTCCTAGTTTGGGACTCTTCATCAGTACGCATCCACCGGGGTTCTAACCCAGGACCTTCTAGTTACAAGGCGAGCTCGTATACCATTAAGCCACTGGGACCCGATCCAATGGTCCATGAATTCTAACTTCTGCCAATTCACGACCCTTAGCCAATGTCTTCGGCGAGTATTTGTCCTCACACCCGACCTGCTACACCCTACTGGTCACAACTTCTCACTAGAACCCCAGGTAACTACCTACCTGAATAGGGCAAGTCGCTGAACTACTTATTTTGTTAGACAACAACATTTGAGTAGAAAACAGTAGAAGAAATATGGCTGACATCTCTCTCTATAAAACTACAAGTTACGACAATATTATGAATTAGCAAAATTGACCGTTTCCAATGCACCTACACTACACTCAAACATTCATTGTTTATTGCTTGCTGTTACGTTAAATATTTCTTGGAGAAGAAGCTAATCATACCAGTAGGGATGATGATGATAATAATAATAATGAAAATCGATACAAAAATTTCTACTCATCCAAAGACTCAAATGTCACAAGAAAGAAATATAGTGAAATTCATACTTTCCAAATGAATGTCATATGATGTAATCTAAGTAAATTCCATACAACAGCTACTGATTTAAATATTGTCATAATTACTAGGTAATGTAATCACATAATCAACACTGTTGATTGAATAAGAAATTTCAATACTTTAACTATTATTTTTCATTGTTAATATTTGTATTAGAAATACTTTTTTATGAAACATGGATGTTATGCGCACACTACACTTGTAGATCCATACGCTTTTCAGAAATATTTTTTACTTAAAATGTATTAGAAGCGAATAAAACAGAAAACATAATATCAATTGGCACATTTTTGTGAAGAAAGAACACCGATTGGAGCAATTAATAAAAACCAGGGAGTACTGGAAAACTGTTTCGTTCTATTATGGGACCCTTCATCAGTGCGCACCCACAACTTCGTTAGGGAATGAGCAGGAGAACTTCACTTTATGAGAACAAGCTGAACTAAATCTAACGACTCATAAATCCTAACGGTGTCAGCTCGGCTCAATTGGCTGAACAGTTAAGAACCTTGGTCTCGTAATCTGAAGGTTCTAGGTTAGATCCCTGATGGGTTTGTGGATGAACACTGTTGAAAGGTCCCAGAATAGGACGAAACAACCGTCCAGTACTCTCTGATGTTGTTTTGGTGAAAATATCAAAGGGTAAATTAATCGAAAATCCCCATAAGAATCTTATAATTTAAATAACGAAGATGATCATAACTAGGACTGGTATTCATAGATAAAGTGAACGCAAGATGAGCTTGTTTGCTGGCAGAACAAGCAGCCTCAATCCACCTTCAACCTATCTTTCTTACTCTGAAAATATTTTGAACGAAAAATCAAATAAACTGTGACTGTGCGCCGGTGGCATGGCTGTTAGGATGATCGCCGACCATGCACATGGTCCGACGTTCGATCCCCGGCCACCGACGCACTCTTTTACCTCGCTAAGCCAGAAATAATGCTGGTGAAGAGGAAAGGTTGGGCATGAGGCTAGCAACCCCATTCTGTAAAATAAACACTGCTACAGAAACTTCAAGCCACTGGCTTGAAGCCATATTTCCCACTTGGGAACTTGAAGGAATTAGAAAATATCCTCAATTATAGCATAAGTACTACTAATCAATAACATTTGAAAGATGAATGAATGGTCTTTTCGATAATTTGATAGATCACAAAGGAACTTAACATAAGGAGCATGATTTAATGAATCCGATAAGATCAATTTCACGATTTACAGATTAACTGACGACTTGAAATATATTCAAAGTTCCACCACACTTCCCTTTGAAAATGGAAATTATTTAGATCCGCCAACTAGAAAATGGGTGATTTGAATTGTTTCAGCTCTACATGCTGAGCCAAAATGGATATACCACTGACCAGATTGGCCTCATATGGGTGAGTGAAATGGCCATCGCTTTGGCTATCAAGCACTACCGGTTGGCGTGAGTGGCATCCAACTGCTCATGTAAACCAATCAGAAGTATTGTAGCATTATGGATGTTATGATCTCAGGAATAGTTGGTTCAAAGTTTTCTTATGTATTGTACAACACTTTAAGCCTTTTAAACTATTCTACATCAGCCGAACACAAACTCAGCCAATCCTAAGTGATAGTGATTGGAAAAATTAAATACAAATCCTTCCGCAAAACATCCGTTTTACACAAAACAAAAAGTAGATAAAATTCTAATGCAACTGACCTTACATTTATTCACTCTTGTGTACTGATATGATCAAGTATTATCATTCACTGGATGATAGATAACAGCGGTTAATTGGAAAATGAAAGCACACGCAGGAAGCCATAAAACCCAGAAGTAGTAGTATAAAAATCCAGAAATTTACCAAAATACAATGAAATAATAAATAAAATTCATCATCTCATAAGATAAATAAACTCTTCTACGTTTTCTTTGTTTGTTTGTTTGTTTGCTTGCTTCTGATTTGGTTATATTTTCAAAAGTTTTTTGTAAAAGATTATAACTAGGTAGTTATGGTTTATTAACTAACTAACGATTGGTGGAATTCACCTTAGTAAATAATATTAACCAATAAAAGTGATCGTTAAAACTTAAAGTTCATATACAGTCTGAGATATATGAATGATTGGTATAGTCTATAAAACTTCTTTTATCAAAAATTATTATTCTAAACACTTGTAACTTTTTTCAAGATTTCGTTTGTTGAGATTCTATTTGAAAATCAATCTGATGCTCGCCAGTGACTGGCTAAAGGACGTAGTTGCCTGGAGTTCTAGTTAGAAGTCGTGACCAGGCGGATGCATCTAGTCGGGAATGAGGATGGATTTCCCACCGATGACATTGGTTAGTGGTCGCGCTAAATCACCAATTGGTAGAAGTTAGAATTCATGCACTGGTCATTGAATCGGGTCCCAGTGGCTGGATGGTATACAAACTTGCCTTGTAACTAGAAGGTCCTGGGTTCGCACCCCGTTGGTGGTTGCGTCCTGAAACAGCTGTCCAGTACTCCTAGTTGGTTTTCAATGGTTCTTTAAGTGACATCAATCCGTGGTCTAACCTGAAGCTTATAATTATGTCTGTTAAATATTTTTGTATCAGTAATTCGACTTCTGTAGGATATTTCTACTGAATGATACAATTTATACAGTAATGTGAATTATTCCATTTTCAAGAGTTACTCTGTAGGGATTTAATTCATCTTAAGTTTGAACAAGGATTGATATCAGTTAGAGGACCATTGGAAACCAAGGAGTATTGAACAGCTGTTTCGTCCTAGCCTGGGACTCATCGACAATGTACGCACCCACTGGATTTGGAATCCAGGACCTACCGATTACAAGACAAGTTCGGATCGAACTCTATGTCCCATGAATTCTAACTTCTACCAATTCATGATCAAATCCCTGAAAATTACCTCCTAAAAGTTAATCTGCTGCTATCTGCTGAGTAGCTACACGACGAAGTTGCCTGGAATGCTAGTAAGAAGTCGTGATCAGTGGGGTCCATCCGGTCGGGAGTGGGGACAATTACTCACCGAAGACACTGATTGGTGGTTGCGTTAAAATCACGCATTGGCAGAAGTTATAACTCTTGCGCTAGCCAGTGAGTTGAGCCCCGAGGACTGAATGGTCTACGCACTTGCCTTGTATCCGGTAGGTCCTGAATGCGACGCTCAGTGGGTGTGCACTGATGAAGATTACCAAACTAGGACGAAACAGTTGCCGACTACTCCTTGATTTTCAATGGTTGTATAACTGATATCAATCCCTGGTCATACTTGAGTGATTTCATTTGTCGCCCTTCTTCACTTTTATGTTGTACAATGGTTATGTATTTGCCTTCGGTTTCTAAGTGAATTTAGCCAAAGGACAAATTGTAAACATTCCTAAAATGTTAGTGAAAATGGTTCATATATGTATGATCAAAGCACGAAGAAATACAGATAAGTTTCAAGAAAAGGATGGTGATAACCTTCACCTTTATTCAGTGTTTGATCAGAAATAAGCATTTTACGGTGTCACACAAATTAATGATTAGGCAGAAGACAGATGATGCTGAAGTCAATGGTATGATTCAAATAGTATTTAGGAAGTGTTTGAAGGTAAACAGTAAAAATTGTCAACCATGAACATGCCATTATCTGTCTTTACTAAATGCTTTAGATATCTATGAAACAGATAAAAACTGATGTCAGCTCATGATGAAATCCTGTAACCAGATAAAATGAATTTTGGTGTATTATATTATTCTTTCAGTAAACTTATTACTCGGTAAATATACTCCGTTATCTGGAAACTGCTTCAACATTAAGGTGTGCAGTGCCAAAGTCTTTGTCAACAGCATTCAACAGCTCGCTACATGACAGTGCAACTTGTCAGGTGATCCACCATGGAAAACTCGGCGAGGTGTTCGAAGTGATTACAGGAGTGAGACGAGCTGGCCGCCCATTATCACCGATGATATTCTTAATTGTGGTGGACTGGATTATGCGTCAGACTGTACATAGAGACTGAGAAGACAGGAATACGCTAGGCCAATAAGAAGACTCTGGAGGATTTGGATTTCGCATGTGGGTGACTTATGTTTAGTGTCACACAGGCTGGAAGACTTGCAGGTGAAAACCAATAAATTGGCTGAAGAAGCAGTAAATGAAGACAGGATTGCAGGTGAACATAGAGAAGATGGAAGCAGTCGGAATGGATGGAGATGTCAAAGGCGGAGAGAATCCGAAAGACAAGATACGCCTTCGTCAACCTGAAACCAGTTCGGAAATCTTCTGCACACAGTCAGAATAAGGAAAAAGATTCAGATTTTCAACAAACATATGAAGTCAGTGAGTTTTTCTATACGGGTCATACATCACAAAAAGGATTTCCAACAAGTTACAGACTTCTGTCAACAACTGCCCACTTCACTAGCTCCCTACTGAAGATCAAATGTTAAGCCAGAAAGAATCAGCAACAAGAAACTCTGGCTGGGAACAAACCAACCAAGAACCAATTGATCAACGAATATGTAGGAGAAAATGGAGATGGACTGATCAGGCATACATTGTGGAAGCCGTCGAAGAACATCGAACGCAATGCAGGGCATTGCTCGATTGGAATCTCAATGGGAAGCGATGAATGGATAGTGTGTCTGAGGGTAACATGGAGGAAATGGTGTGGGGACGAGGAGATGAGAGATTATGGACAATCGTGGACCCAGTGAATAGGGTAACACAAAATAGAACAAAGTGATGCTTTGTTGAAGCTAGTCTCCCATTACCTGCTTTTCCCAAACACAGTTCTGCAGCATATCTCCACTTGACATTGTATCTGACTGCATGACCGCTCACGCGCCTTCAATTGCTGCTCATATGATCTCCGTCATTTCAACCTCAAACTCATGTCCAACTTGTTGCCTCCCATTAGTGCTCTGCTAAAGGTCCTGGCGTATGATATCACTCAACGGTTCCTTAGCGTATGTGCAGTCCGTCTCCATTTTATTGTGCATAATTATTGGACGATAGGCTCTTGGTTGCTTCATTGTCAGAGTTCCTGGTTGCTTTTCTCTTCTAAACGGGCATTTGATCTTCATCGTCGGGGAAACTCAGTTATTGATAAAACACTGAAGCCTGTTGGAAATTCTTTTCATGACACGTCAAGTCTCTGAACCGTAGAGGAGCACTGGTTTGACATAAGTGTTGAAAATCTGAATCATGCCCCTCGGGACAAGTGCAGTATATTTCTACACTCACATCAGATAAGTGAAGGTCTGTCTTGTCTTTCCAATCCTCTCCTCATCCGTGTCGCCACTTGTAGTTGAAACGATGCTGCTTATACAGGAGGAAGAGGTGGCTTCCAGAAGATTTCTGCAATTGGTACATACTGGTGCTTGTTATTGTTGTTGTTGGTTAAGCATCTCCATTATTTCTACCAAACCTCACCTAGTTAACTAGCTTTCTAGTTTTATAGCCGGTCCCAAGCCCGGTAAAGAGTGAGGGTTGGGCGTGGGGCTAGCAATTCCACACCACTAAACCTATCAAACTGCCAGAGAAACTTCAACGCACAAAAAATATATTAAAAATCACCTCTGCCTTCCTTCTGTCCACTTGAATTCCTGTCTTCGCTGTTTCTTCTGCCAAGTTGTCGGTTATCTCTGGGAAATCTTTCAGTTTGTGTGGCATTAGATATAAATCATTTGCGAAATCCAGATGTACTAGGGTGTCTTTGTTGGCTCAACCTGTATTCTTCTCGTTCGTTACTCACCATATGACACATGATCCAGTCCGCCACACTTAGGAATATCACCGGTGACGGTAGTGCAAGCAAACTGAGACCTCATAATAACTACGCAAGGAGACATTCGACATATTCCGGATGTGGCGATTGACAATTTCTATCTCTGTATTGTTTAAGTACTTACTGCTGTTTGTTAATATATATGAATTGAAATATAATCCCACCAAATACAAATTCCTAAATTCATCCCTCTGTGTTTTTGGTTGAATTCCTTTAATTCGGTCATAGCGTCGCTATGGAATTAAATAATCTTGGAAAGTTTCCTATAAATGGTTCGCCACGGGAGGTCGCCGATTATCTTTAGTGCTTCGGCGCTTGCTGCATGTCTAAGAATGTTCGCGATGACAAAATTCCAGCTGATTTTATTACTGCTATTGGGCTAGATGCGTACAGCCTAGTGAAAACTCTGTCATTTCCAGATAAACCAATTTCTCTGTCATATGATAAACTCCGTGAACTCCTAACAGATCATTTCTGCATAACAACTTTCGGAACACGACAGAGGGCTCAGTTCAACAAACTTGTTCGCGCTCCCAACCAGAAGATTAGAGACTTTATTCTTCAGCTTCAGATACAAGCTTCAAAGTGCGACTTTGGAGATCAGCTTCATACTCAACTACGTGATCGTCTAATTGCTGGAATCAATATTCCTAAGTTAGAGAAAGGGTTGATTCAGATTCCTTCCTGCATCTTTCAAACTGCCAAGGATTTATGTATTACATATGAAGATGTCAACAGTGAATACCCAGCTCCCACTACGTCAGTGTATGATGTCATGCTGTCTAAAGTTGATAATACAGGTGTTCATAAAAAGAAATCCAAACTGTCATCCACAAGTAATGGAATGCAGACTGAAAGCAAAACCATCAAACCATATTTTTCATGTGGGGAGATTCGTCTACGAAGCACTAGCCGTTTTCGGGTTGCTGAGTCATAAATGTGGTAAAAATTGAGCACATAAAGTCTGTTTGCAGAAGTTCAAATACTTATTCTACTCAGAATTCTCATGATTCTCCCTAACTGTCTGTTAAAATGTGGTTAATATCTCTTTCAATTTTTCACAGTAATGAATCTCATCTAATGAGAAACTTCACTACAAGTTCAGGCAAGTCTCAATGGTTTATAGTTGATACTGGGAGTACTGAATCTATAATTTCTAAGAAAGATTTACTATCGATTTGTAAGTATGCCCAGGTAGACCC